TTTTCTATTATCATCAACAGCAACTATCCATCATCTCCACCACAACCATTACCATCACCATCATCTCCATCACCACCACACCCATAAAAGGGTCTTTTGAGGAATTTTTAAAGCCAGATCAGGTTTGTCCTTATATAGAAGCAAACCCCTGTGCAAACTGAACCCAAACTTGTACTCTAATCACTCATTTGAAGCAGAATAAATGTTCAAAAACAAAACACTCTTACAATCATTTTCATTATTTAATCTCAGGCCAACACTTTCACATTTCTTTGCCTTTTGAAGTATAGATTCTGAGAAATTTCTCTTCTCCACACCTCTGGGTTCTGAGGCAGAATTTGTGCTCTAAAGCATTACAATGTCCCATTTTCAGACTTTTCTAGCAGTCAGCTGATGAAGAAGTACTTTGACCATTTGGAAGAGAGATACATTAATATCTCCTTTTCAATAAAGAGACATACCATTTCCCAAATCTTAGTCTCATAGCCAAGTCTCAAAGTGGGCCCCAGTGACTGATTCATTCTGGAGCGATGGTGGTACTCAAATAATGATTCATAAGGAATTCCAAAACTTTCTCCCCATTCTTTGTTACTTGCTACCTGTATCCTTGGAAGGTAAATAAATTTAACTGAAAATCATATCACAAGAGGCACAAAACTTAGTACGTCTAACAGGCTGGTGTTTTCTTACACTTTTAGTTCCACTGTCCCAATAAAATCCACAATGACATCTGATGTTCATAAAGATGCCAGCAGTTTTCCATGTGATGATAGTTTCACTGTTACTCTTGAGTTAGGTGCCTCACACCTTAGAAAATAATTTGTAGTACTGTGTGCATTTTTTTCTATTTGCTATCAAGCCACCTTTGACTTATGACAGCCCTATGAATGAGGGACCTCCATGAGATCTGCAGCTCTGTAGGCATTTATGTCAGTAGAATTTTTATCAGATTTTAAAAAACAGACATACACTCACAGATGAAGTAATTCTTCACTAATTTCACTCATTAATGACACAGTGAGTAATTTTAGCAATTTTCTTGCTAATGCAAGAAATATTTTGAAAACTGCACAGTTTTGAAAACTATTTACAGTGCAGGACTCTCTGCACAAAATTTGCATATGGCTTTTTTCTGCAGAGAACAGCATTTGTCTACACATAAAATAATATTTCTCTGTAGACATTGTTTTCTGCACACAAAAAATGCTGCTGTTGGGGGCTAATAGTCTGTGCAAAAGTCATACCTTTTTTCCTGTGCAGTTTGAATTGTCCTAAACTGTGAAAATTCTCCTCTTTCCAGAATTCTACTCCTCAGGGTTTTAAGACACTTAGGAAACATGGTTTCTGACTGTGTTATGAATGTCTTTGAATATTATTTCCATCCCTAACACAGGCATGCATCTGTACATACAAAGTGAAATACCTGCAGATGGATCTCGCAGCAGCAGGCTCTCTAGAGAAACTTTCCCTCTAGTTAAATATTGACAACTGGTTTTCCTCCCACTGGAGGTCTCTCCGGTCATAAATGATGTCTCTCTACCACCACCCAGCGGTTATGGTCAGGGGGAGGAGACTGAACATATCAACAACTAAATTCTTTATCCTTTCAGCAGCCAGCCAGTTATTGGTTTTAGGATTAAACTACCCCTACAGTTCAGCACACATTGGATTGCCTCTACTTTTGGAGGCTTTTCCTCTTCCAGAGATTAAGGAGCTCGACTGTGACATTTCAACACAAATCCTAATAAGGGCAGCAGACTGGCATGCCATCTAAAGAGATGAAGAAAGGAAGACAAAATTCCACACAACCTCCTATTTATTCTTCTGTCTCTAGACACACACATACACACACACACACACACAAAGACAGACTAAACAAGCTGCACGTCTTAAGGTGCAGAAATCTACGTACAAGCTGTCTGCACAGTCTCATGCATTTGTTCTATGGGTAAGGTAAAGCAACATTTATGTTGTGCCTTTACATTGCTAGCTGGGTACCATCTCTCAGGTAGCCTGTACAAATGATTCAGGTAGGGCAGTTTATGTCGTTCCCTTTTGTGGGAAGCCACAAAGTCAGTGCTACAATTGTCAGCTTAACTAATAAACTGGTGTGGCATAAATCAGTATCCACTGAGAACCAGGATAGAGGAGCGAGTAATCATTGTGGTGGCCGGTTACATATTTAAGGGAAACCTGTACATTATAGCTTGGTATATCCAAGGCATCCTTTATATATGTATCTGCTAATCACAGTGAGGAAGGAGATTTGCTCCCCTATCTATATCAGGGAGAAGCAATGCACTTCCACTGGCATCCTTGTGGGACCTGTTTGCACCCTAACTACTGAAACTCATCCCATCCCACCTTCCTGGTGGGTTGCTTGGCAAGTGAGACTGGGAAGTGTTAGATGCTGGTGCTAAATTGTGATCTGACTACAACTGGATTCCTAAGTGCAGCACATTATTCTCCTCATACACATAGATGTGGGAGAAATTCAAGGGCTACCTTCAAGGCACACCAGGTGAGGATACTAAACCTGCTCCATACCATTAAGAAGTCAAGGCTTCCTCATCTCTGTAGTTTTACCTCTTGGCTGGTTTGGCTTCTCTGTCACACTACAGTGCAATGTGTGGGGAATGTCTGGTCTGTGGATCCATGCACCCAGCTCCAATGTGGCCCTCCAGCACTTTCAGATACCTTCTGACACCCCCACTTGAGGGAAAGAAAAAGAAAGAAATCTGGTGTAAGAAAAATGTCCAATGACTGTTCCAGAAGCCTCCAGGGGAATTCTGACTTGCTGTTTAAGGCTATTTCAACTTTCTGAGCCCTAGACTCTAAAGTTGACTTTTAAAATCCAATTAGCTGTTTCCTACCTGGGTACAGGCATATGCAGTAGGACCATTTTTGGGGGGAAATGAGTAGCTATGGCCCACTGAGGTCTGAAGGAAAGGAAGGGTGAAAATGGTTCCCAAGACATCCAAAGCTACTCTTTCAAGTGCTAGTGTAAATAATGGAGGTTGGAGTGGGGAGGATTTTTAAAAAAAGATCTATCAATCAGAGGTAATCCTATTCACCAGAAGTAAAGCTGCACTGTTTATTATTGCAGCTTGTTTCATGGTATCAGCTGAAAGATTTTGATTGTTTTCATTAAAGATATAATCTCTTCCTCCTGATTCAGCAATGCATTATTCAGTGGTGTTGTGTATCATTGTTTAGGGCTTATCATTCATACTTGCTGAGTTGAACTATAAAAAATGCTACACTGTTCCTTCTGGGAATCAGAAAAATAGCAGTGAGCATTTTATGCATTTCATACTGTTTAAAATGTAAATATTCTAGTAGTTAATATGTTATTGCATAACATGTTGTTGGAATTAAACACTATTTTCACAACAAAATTAAGAGGGAGGGAGATTTATGCACAACTAAGATGACTTGTTCTGAAGAGCGATGGGTCAAAGGCAAGGCTTCTCACTGATCCACCACAATCTTTAAATGGACAGCTGGTGGTGCTATGTAAGATTAAGAACACCATAGGCCCTGTACCGAGTCAAGGAGAAGAGGATTTAAATTCTCAAACATATGCTTCCAGAGCAGTTTCATGTTTGACATAATACACAAGTCAGCTTGGCCACCAAGTACAGTATTCACTGACCAAATAGCTTCTGCCAAACTTGATTGCCCTCTCAGTGAAAATACACAACTCTTACATTTTTGAAATATCTCTTCTGTTAAATATATACTTTAAAGTTTTCACCACATCCTATATTTAAATTACATGCTGAGACACAAACTAGCTCCCTGACCCCTACAGTCACCATTCTTGTTGCCATCTATATGTCTGCAAAAGAAAAGTGTCTCCTCTATTCACGGATGTTCTCCCTAAGACTGTGTCTGCACTGCAGAATTCATGCAGATTGACAACACTTTAACTGCCATGGTCAATGCTATGGCATCCTCAGATTTGTACTTTGCAATGGTACCAGAGCTCTCTGATAGAGAAGGCTAAATATCTAAACAACACCAACAAAAAAACCCCCTATAATTGGGATTATAGAGGATTTTTTAAATAACTTTTTAAGGGGTGGGAGAGTTGGGTTGTGATTGATTTTTATTGTTTGTATTTTATGTTGGAAGCCGCCCCGATTGCTTTGCAGAGGGGCGGGATATAAATATTATTATTATTATTATTATTATTATTATTATTATTATTCCCAGGATGCCATAGCATTGAGCCATGGCAGTTAAAAAAGTGTGAAACTGCATTATTTCTGCAGTGGAGATGCAGCCTGAGATTTGGGGGGGAAACCAATTTTCCTTTACATTTATTTTTCTATATTCTTGAGGAAAGATTCCACAGATAGTAAAAACAGTATACTTATTCCTGCTCACTTCCTTGTGAACAAGCTTACATTAATGCCTTGCAGATCTACTGCCCAATTATTTGGATCCATTCCATAATCCATGTGGAGCAGTTCAGATGTGATATCTGTTATGTGAATAGTAATATACAAAGTACCACATTTTACTGGTCCAAATGGCTGTTTCAAAGAGTGAGCACTTGATACTAAAAGATAAAACCATTTTTTACAGCTCTGAGATGTGCCACTACTCAATGCAGGTGCTGAAAGAATTTAGATTGGTGATAAAGATATCACTTCCATATCCTCCCACCCTGAAGAGACTGGCAGCATCTGAAATTGTCAAGTTTTTAAATGCAAAGGGCAAAAGACATCAGTGTTCCGTATGAGACATGACAACCAAGCAAAATATTTGCCTGACCCTCATCCAAATGATGTAAATCACTGTAATTTCCCTCAACACAGGTGAAATGTGTCTGTTAACAATTACCTATCATGAGGTCACTTCCCTGAATGGTTGAACTAGAACTTTCTAGCAGAGAATGCTAAGTACTTCAGTAGACTACAAAACCCAGGAATCTGTAGAATGGAACCTTTATAGTTTACATGGTTATCAGTCTGCTGTAATGGTGCAGTACAGGCTAGCATGGCACAGTGGTCTGAGCACTGGACTATGACTCTGGAGACTAGGGTTTGAATCCCGGCTCAGTCATGAAACATAGTGGATGATCCTGGACAAGTCACACTCTCTCAGACTCAGAGGATGGCAATGGCAAACCCCCTCTGAAGAAACGTGCCAAGAAAAAAAACAACGATAGGTTTGTCATAGGTCGGAAATGATTTGAAGGCACACAACAACTCCTGTATTATATCACAGTGTAATACCACATCTTTGTATTTTTTTGTGGGTGAGACAAAACCAACAAGATTTAATGGTCTCTTAGACATAAGCATGGGGAAACACACCTTTGTAATAAAAAATAATGAAATATCTGGTGGTGATAAGTTGAGAAACAGAGAGAAAACAGCCTCTCCAGCTTCAAACACTCACCCACCACCATTAGTCTTCTTTGAATTGGTGTAGCTTCAAACACTTCTAGATTAAAGTGGTTCTTTTTCCCCCCTCCCTGGAGCAAAATTAGTTTGGCCTTGCCTGACTGGCTCCATCTTCTAATGCTGCATTTTACTCACAGCATGGAAAATGTACCTGGGGAAAGGCATGCTGGGTGGTTGAATCTGGAAGTTAGCAGTCTAAATTGATTTTATTAAACTTTTCTTCTAGTCTTCTGCCAACACCATACATTCTACTTCTCCCAAAGGAGCAAATATGCACATTGGCTTAGGGCAGTAAAGATCTTTGCTTAGAATTACCGTTAGCAGAAGATGTATTGACCTTCCCACCAGCTGCTACTGAAGCTCTTTATCATAACTGTATCCTTGAGATGCCCACAAACTAACATTAACATAGCATGTACACATAGTTTGTTTTATTTCACAGATGTTCCTTATTGTTTGTAGACTCGATGTCTCCACAGCTTGAAATCCAAAAGAGTCTACCAATCCCATGTAGCTCTGAGATACCTGTATCTATATCTGTACATACACATATAACCAAGTAATCCATTCCACATCATAAACACTATAAATCCCACAATAAAATGCACCACTAAGCAGTGCTAATTCTGATGCAGACAGTACTGAAAAATTCTTGTGAATTTCTCAAGGGAAATTCAAAACAACATATATAAAGCTAAAATGAAGACTGTAAAGTTGAACGTTTGCCAAAAGCTATCAAACAGTACAGTATTACAGGAAAAAACTGGAGAGGACATAGCCACTAATCAGGACAATTTCCAACTATAGTCCCTCGGCCCTTAAAGGGGACAGGTTGCCTACCCTGCCTAAGTTGTTTACAATCTGTAAGCTACTTGCCTCCAACAAGCTAGGTACTCATTTTACTGACCTATGAAAGGATGGAAGTTTGAGTCAACCATGGAGCCCTTGGGATCAAACTCACATCCTTGTTCTGCACCATCATGGTCCACCTCTGTGCCACCACATATATGCCCCTAAGCAATAATCTGCTTGAAAACCACAATAGTGTAGTAATTTGAGTGTTGGACAAAGAATCCTGGAGGCCAGGGTTCAAATCTTTGCTTGGCCATGGAAAACCACTGGTTCATCTTGGGTATGTCATAGTCTCTCAATCCAACAGGATGGCAATGGCAAGCCTACTCTGAACAAATCTTACAAGAAAACGCCATAATAGAGTTGCCTTAGGGTCACCATAAGATAGAAACAGTTTGAAGTTGCACAACAACTAACAACAACAGCAACAATAACAACAACAATAACAACAATGCCTGATGAAATATAGAAGATGTTGCCCATGAATGAATAAAAGGTAGCCTGCAGGGCACATGCCCATCCTCTAAGGGCTTTTTTGCACTCTTGAATCTCCTTCCCCAGTGCTCTCTTGGAAGCATTTTGCTAAAAAATGTTTTCCCACACCACTAGAATCCTTTAGCTGTAGCAGTTTAGCACTTAAACAGGTCATGGCCCTCCTCCCAACTCAGCCTTTCTAAGCTCATCCCCATAACCCCCAAGATCAGAGGTGGACTTATGCTCCCTTCCAGTATATGGCTATTAACAGGCCCTGATGTGATCTGCAGTGAATCTTGGGGGCAGAGAACTGGGCATCAGAGCCTCCAAAGTTCCCCATGCCTAATGTAACCCCTCCTTTAAATGAAGGCGATGACCAAAAGAAGACACATCAAGTATGGGGAGGAAGCAGCCTGCCAGACTGGAGCCATTTCTTTTCGAGCCTAGATGACTGTTTCGTTGAGTGCAAGAAAATTTTATAGAAATTCAAGTTGGTTTTGGTTAACATGAACAATTCTTTAACTCATCAATTATAGTTAAGAACACAGGACATATCTTGATTGTTAAACATGAATAATTCACCTTTTTGAGACTCAACAACATAAGGCCAGATACATTTACACCAACAAAAGTAAATCAATATGTTTTATCATTTCAGGTACATTATATACCTCAATCATTTAGTAGAAACATGCATACTGTTTCCATTCTCCCAATCTACTCTTGAAACATAAGCAGTTCATAATCTCTGCACCTACTAGCTAAGACCTTGAGAAAAAAAGGATACAGCAAAGAGAAACCATTTCTAAACCTCACTTTCAAGGGGGGGGGGATGTAGCAACTTCCACTATGAATATGCCAAGGTATTTCTAGTGTCTTCCCATTGTAAGTACATGCACATTACAAGATACAATTCCATTTTAACGATATGCATATGCTACAGTGCAGGATGAACTGAAAGAGTTTGCAGAGAAAATGTCCTTCAAAGCTCTTGTGTGCATCATTTTTAAAGGAAGACTTTTCATGCCAGCCCTCTAGATTTTCTTCCGCATATACTGTCCAACTGAGTGAAACCAGCAGCTGGTGGCTTCCATGTTAGTGGGGGTGGTGAATCTGGGGTTTGGTCTGAACTTTAAATGAACTATTCCAGGTGCTGACCTATATTCCCAAAATGGGTCTTGCTCCTTTTACATTCAGATTTGTGCCCAGAGCCAATTCACCACCCTGGTGACATGGGAGCCACTAGCTGCCACCCCTGACTAAGCTATAAACTGGGATGGGCAAAAGCCTGAGAGAAGCAGGCAGCTTGAAAGGACAAGCCAGCCATGGTGCTTGTCTTTTCAGGAAGCTTTGGGGTAAGCTGGGATAAACACCAGGGGATATTTAGGACCCCAGCAGTGTGAGAGAATCAGGAGCTAGAAGGCAGACTAGTCTGATATTTTCTATCAGCTTATCCAGAGCTTAAGTGGAGTTCCCCTTCTTGAGTTTCAAAACTTCTTTCAGAAGACCAGATGGTCTTAAATACACACAGCCTTAGTCAGAAATGGATAGAAAAAGAAGCAGGAAGAATTTTGAGAAGGAAGGGTTAGTGGGTCAAGCCAATTTGGACCATTTTAAAGTGCTCCTAATCCCCGTCACCTCCCCATCCAACAGAGCCACAGCTGTGGCTTTGTCCCTATCATCATCCTTAATCTCACGCCTCTCTGTCTGAAATGTCTGTTTATGTCAATGGGAGAGAAAGGTATAAGAGAGTTTGGGGGGAATAACTAAAATGCCACCCAGATGCCACTGCAGATTGTGCCCAGATACTGCCAGATACTGCACCCAACTTTTCAATATTTTTTTTTAAAAAACCCTATTATTTGTAAGGAGGTGTAAATGCAGGTGAATGCATTTTATCTTAGTGATTAGTGATTTATCTTAGCCCAAAAAGACACCGCAGGTAAGAATGTTACATAGAGTTGCATCTGCCACAATGAAGCTCATCATGGGCTAAACAAAAGCAAATATACTACATAAAAGTAATCAACAAAGTGAATCATGCTTCCCTCATCTACAACACGCTAATAAAAACCTGAAGCAAGAACAAAACCAATCCACTTGCTCTTGAAAACTTGCAATGTTCTTTCTAGGCAAATGCTTATCAAGGCAATGCAATGATTATCCAACTACACCGCTTTTCTCCAAAAGGGCTTGTGTGGATCCACTTTAAACAGAAGCAATATTCTGTTTCATTCACGATTTACAGATACTCATAAGAGGACTGAAAGGGGCAAGACTGCTTATGACAGGGCAAGGAGCTCACACGTGGGATATACAAGAGATTCTTATCGCTGTTATGTCTCTCCTTGCTGCAGACAACCCAGTGCTAGCCTGCTAACCTACTTTATTCCAGCTGCAGTATCACTATTATTGATGGCACTGCCCAGCATAGGTGCCCACTTCATCACGTGTGTGCCAATGATATACACACCGATCAGCTAATTCAAGGTCAAAGAACAAACAAGTCCATTAGCTCCGAAGAAACACCTTTCAAACAGAGGAGTCCTCTTGAACTCATTGGGTTTGAGATCCTGTGGAGCAACTATCCTTGCTATGAGATAATTTAATAATTTATCCATGGAAAAGTAGCAACTGTTCATGCCACGAGACCATTTAATAAATTACCCATACACAAGTTTGGGTGGAACAATGAGCTCCCAGTTTCTGTGATAACATTTAAACAGGCATGCATTTTAAGAAAACAGAGGAAGAAGAGGGGGAAACATATTTGCTCCACAATAATTCATCAAACAGGTTAGGCAGTAAAAGACAAACTCAGAATTATGCATAATGAGGTGGCAACTCTCTGGACTGTACCATCTTGAACGGAGGGAGGCAGTTCCACATTTGTAATCTCCTCCCTCACAGGACAAGCATGTAGTAAACTACCAGACTAGAGAGTGGAGTATGTTAAACTCTTCTCTCTTATTGTGATTCTATGTAGAGGTCTTTCCCTCTAATCTGGTGGAGCAATGAAATACATAGTACATGCCCTCCCCACCCTATAGTATGAAGTGATGCAGCCCAGAATCTGACATCTCAAGTTTACTATGTTACTCTGCAGCATGTGTACCACACTCCCAGGCTGCATCCATACTGCAAAAGTGGTGTCAAACTGGTTTGATTCTGCAGTGTGGATGCAATGCCATTTTTCCATTGGTACCACTACTTACAGGCCCAAAGTTTGGAACAAGGGGGGAAAAACAATGCTTTTTGACTTTTTGAGGGAACAGAGAAGGGGGAAACCCCCAGAAAGATTGACGTACTCACCCAGAAGAGGAGGTTGAA